GGGGCTTTCCCACCAGTAGATTTGCGGGCAGTTTGCTTCGTGCGAGCCATTGTAGATGAATCGGGAGATATATGATAATGTCTGCTCGACTGACGATGACGTACTGAATCTATGTTGTCGTGATGTGTGCCAGGACTGCCAGGTTCTAATTTTACCGTAAATATTTTATCAAAGTAAATGTTTTATCAAACGAAAAATAAATGTCTTACATAATTTGTGTAGAAAAATTATAAACCAAACATTTAAAAAAAAACTGTAAAATTATGATGCATCAATGAATGTTATTATTACTTTTTTTTTTTTACATTTATTATTGTTTACTTGCATAAGTTTAAAAGCAATACTCATACTGTCTGATGAGTTTCAGATAATCAAAGCGCGTGTTATATTCGTTTATTGTATTTTTTTTATTATAGTATCTCAAAAGTTACACTTCTAATGTAAACCCCTAAATATCGAAATCGTATGAAACTTCACATAGCAGTCAAATTTACTCCAATCACAACGAAAGTATATTAATACATATGCCAAATTGTACGCAATACATTATTTTATAAATATATATATATTAAAGTTATTCGTGGAATGGGACGCTACGTTGGTACGTGAAATCTCTTCGAATAAACGACGTATGAGAATTTACGTTTATAACTTAATAATAAATTAATAGCTAACAATCTTACCAGTGCTGATGAGAAGTGGTCTACGTCAAACGTAACTGTTGGCCCTGAAAAGGGCCGTTTTTTGTATTCCACTAAGATTACTCTTTGGATGGCTTTTTTTCGGTTTTTTTGGGCAAAAGCACAGCTTGAATGTTGGGAAGGACACCCCCTTGGGCGAGCGTTACGTTGCCGAGTAGCTTGTTTAATTCCTCGTCGTTGCGAATGGCTAGTTGGAGGTGACGAGGGATGATTCTGGTTTTTTTGTTGTCACGGGCAGCATTGCCAGCCAACTCGAGAACCTCCGCGGACAAGTACTCGAGTACCGCGGCCAGATACACCGAAGCCCCAGGACCCACACGCTCGGCGTAGTTGCCCTTCTTCAGGAGTCGGAGGACGCGACCGACCGGGAACTGCAGACCCGCACGGGAGGACCGCGTCTTCGGTGTCGCCTTAGACTTTCCTGCACCACCTTTGCCACGTCCCGTCATTGTTCAAACACTAGATTTTTCAATGCAACTTTTCTCGTAACGAGTCAGAGCTTAACTATGCCTTGTTGGGCATTTTTTTTTGACAGGCGATTTTTTTCGGCGTTGCTGCGATCGCAGCTACTCCGAGCCAATCACAAGCCAGCTCATTGAGAAAGAGGCAGTAGTGGGGGTGGCCCGTTGGCGATTTTGCCTTTTTGTTTCCGGAAAAATCTCCGTCAGGGGCGCGACTGACGTTTTCTTGATTTTATTTTTTTTACACTCAAGATGGAGCTTACAGGCCATTGTCACGTATTCTAATTGCTAATTACCTAATTAGCAGTTTTCTCTTTAGCTGAAAAAAAATTGTTACTCTGATTACGGGTAATGCAGGTCTAAAACTAAGTGTTATTGTCACAACTCTTTCATCAAACGTTAATTTTTTTAATTGCAAAGAATACGAGCCTTCAATTACCAAGTATGCAGCTTACTCAACTCCTTGCGAAACATGCACAGAAGTAGTTGTTAGTGTACATGTTAATACACTTGTTAAGTTGCTCGTAAAATACTTCGATGCCTCGTAGTGCTTGCACACGATTAGCAGGTACCTCATGTCGGATAGCGTGCCGTCACATGAAACTTATGAAACATATCCTTAAAAAGTCAATCGCTAGTTTATGCACGCACACACCGATTACATGCCCTTGGGCATGGGCACGGTGGTGACCCTATTGACGGGAATTGCAGAGGTTCGTGTCCTCGAACAATGTTAGGTTTCACGAGCCCTCACAGTGCCGTCACAGCAGAGCTTGAGAAGACACGGTCCTAGTTCTCGTACGACTTAACCGTTCCTTCGAAACCACAGAGAATTTCATTATTACAGAAAAGGAGGGTAAGTCACGTTGTTAATGAGGTGTTGGCCGCGAAAAGGACCGGTTGAATTTGCCAACCCAGGGACGTTCTTTCCGCATGTGCCTTGTCAGCTGAACGTCTTTGGGCATGTTCCTTTCAGGTGCAAGTGAGTTGCGCCAAAGTTTGTGTCCTCGAACATCGGGGTACGCTCTACAAGCTTCCTGGAAGGTCGTAACAATAGAATTAGGGAGCTGAGGTCGTTCAAGTACCCGCACCCGTTATGTATAGTTATGCAGTTTAAACATAACAGGAGTTATACACATGAGAGTATTAGTTACGTTGTGAATAATATGTTGGCCCTGAAAAGGGCCGATTTATATGAATTGCTAGCTTAAGCACGTTCTCCACGAATGCGCCTTGCTAGCTGAACGTCCTTGGGCATGATGGTCACCCTTTTGGCGTGAATGGCACATAGGTTCGTGTCCTCGAACAATCCAACGAGGTACGCTTCACAAGCTTCTTGGAGTGCCATTACAGCAGAGCTTTGGAAGCGAAGGTCAGTTTTGAAGTCCTGAGCCACTTCACGAACTAGGCGCTGGAAGGGCAATTTGCGCAGCAGAAGCTCCGTGCTTTTCTGGTAACGCCGAATTTCTCGGAGAGCAACAGTTCCTGGTCTAAAGCGATGAGGCTTCTTCACACCTCCGGTAGCTGGTGCGCTTTTACGAGCAGCTTTGGTAGCCAATTGCTTCCTAGGGGCTTTCCCACCAGTAGATTTGCGGGCAGTTTGCTTCGTGCGAGCCATTGTAGATGAATCGGGAGATATATGATAAAGTCTGCTCGACTGACGATGACGTACTGAATCTATGTTGTCGTGATGTGTGCCAGGACTGCCAGGTTCTAATTTTACCCCCTCCAAGTCGCAGCCGGTTTAGTGCAGAAACGTTACCCCCTCCACGAAAATAGACCAAAAAGTCTTCCCCCACCTCGAAGCAGAGTGGGGTCATGGAGGGGGTAGATTTGGAGGACGAGAGGCGCGCTGGTGGATTGACCAAGCGATCATATTCTCACAGACACCCAGGCGCAGAAGGTCTTTAATAGATTCCCTAGCCCATATCATCTTGTAATCATGACTGGTCGTGGAAAAGGCGGTAAAGGATTGGGCAAGGGAGGAGCTAAGCGTCATCGCAAAGTGCTACGTGACAACATCCAGGGTATCACGAAACCCGCCATTCGCCGACTTGCTCGTCGAGGGGGTGTGAAGCGGATTTCTGGCCTCATCTACGAAGAAACTCGTGGTGTCCTGAAAGTCTTCCTCGAAAATGTCATCCGGGATGCCGTGACTTACACTGAGCATGCTAAAAGAAAGACCGTCACTTCTATGGACGTAGTTTACGCACTCAAAAGGCAAGGACGTACCCTCTACGGTTTTGGCGGATAAATTCGACCCGAACTTGAACAACCGGCCCTTTTCAGGGCCACCAAATAATTTTAACGTTTAACTACTGTTCCTCTGATTGTCAAATTAAGTTCGCAACTTTTTTTGTTTAAATTTGGGAAGGTACGTGTTAAACCTTATTTTTCGGTTACATAAGTATGGTCATTTATTACGGCATTTAATAATTATTTATTTTATTTCTGGATGGGGTGGAGAAAATCTTCCCATGAGAAATACTTGGAAAAATTTATTTCTTTTTTGTTTGAAGGATCGAGGAGGGGAAAATGGAAGAATTAATTAATTAATTATTACTAGCACTGAACAGTAATGAATTAAAGGGAACAACAATTTAGATTTAAAATGTATCGGTGATAATAAATTGTATAACATTTCAGTTAACTATTTAGTCTAACGAAATGTATGAATAAAGTTGTATAGCAGGACAGATAATAATTTTCTGGCGTCCGGTTTAGAAGTCAAGTACAGTTAGAGCTTTGTCCCACAATTTACAGCATCTTTCGTTGTATTTGACCTACATATTAAGTTAATAATAATGTAAGAATTACGATTCCTAGGTATGATACAATAATAGTAGACCAACGTACAAAGGTGTGGATAAGTACCTATTCATATTTCTACCGGATAAATTATTTGCAGACTGCTAAACTGAGAAGCTTCGTTTGAATACCTACAATACACTACATAAATTAAAAAACTAAGCATGACGAGTATATTAGTAATCCACTACCAATTGAACAGTAGATACAAACTTTATTTTTTAGTTCAACCAACCGCAAGATAAATCAAACAGGAACGAAAGAAAAGTCGTTGAAATAAATAGGGTAATCGATAAAAATATAATGTTTGTAAAACTTGTCGATGATTTGTGCTCTTTAACACGCTCGGCTTATAGTTTTAACTATACTATAGTTATGCTATATTCATGCTTTTTAGCTTTATATTACGCTCGCGCGGGTTCCGATCCGATGATTGGGTTTAATAAAACGCAATCTGAATCTCGATTAGTTTGACCCTCTTGTACGACACGGTGACAGCGAGAGGGTATTTGGTTATTAGCCAGTTTTACTGCTGCAGTTGTCGACTGCGGGTATATTTATTATTTTCTTTTCTATCGTAGTGTAGATGAACAATAAAAACAAAGAAAGAAAAAATACATTGATTTGTAATCATATGGTTTGCATAATTAAGTAGGCATATACTTACTGACGTATTTTTAAGGACATACGTTGACAGCGACAAGTGTAGCAGACAATAAGTGTAGTCGGAATAAGCATTAAGTTCCTATTTTCATTTGTCTTTCATTTAATTTTGTGATACGCGAGTGCAAAAATGTCGGAGAATGTCAGTCCGATTAAATATTTCCTTAGTGGAGGCTTTGGAGGTGTCTGTACTATTGTGGCTGGTCATCCTTTGGATACGATAAAAGTAAGGTTACATACTTGCTTAGCAGATTGTTTTTTGTTTGTTTTTTAAAATAAGTAAAATTATAAACTCATGATTTTGGCTATTGTTTCGTTAGGTACGACTGCAGACTATGCCAATTGCTGGACCTAACCAAGTGCCACTTTATACAGGAACATGGGATTGTGCCAAAAAAACAGTTGCAAAGGAAGGCTTTCGAGGATTTTACAAAGGTACATATTCAAAACTTGCAATATTTGCTCTAACAATTGTTCCATGCTTTTGTTTACCTGATATTTGTCTCGTTTTAGGAATGGGAGCACCACTTGTTGGAGTTGCTCCCATTTTTGCCATGAGTTTTTTGGGCTTTGGCATTGGAAAGAAGCTGCAGCAAAAGACACCAGACGAAAAACTCAATGAGCTACAGTTATTTTATGCTGGAGCATTCAGTGGAATATTTACCACAGTAATTATGGCCCCTGGAGAGCGTATCAAGTGTCTCCTGCAGATACAGCAAGGTGATGCCAAGCCAAAGTACAGGGGCCCAGTTGACTGTGTTAAACAGTTGTATGCTGAAGGTGGTTTGCGGAGTATATTCAAAGGTTCTTGTGCTACTCTTTTAAGAGGTAAAGTTGGTTCATTTTATTTTAACATATACATTTTTCAGAGATATTGATACAACAAATTCCGTTGGCTCGTGTGTATCCACTTATTAGAGTCATAATATTCGATTAACTGGTAATGGTGTTATCATCGATATTACCTATTTTAGCATGTTTCCTCCTAAGCCTGCGTCGCCTTGGCCATTTGCATTGTAAGCCTCCTTTGCGAAGAGCATAAAAGACACCCCAGTTTCTCAAGGATTTAGGTGTAAAACATCTGGGGGCCGTTTCTTTAGCCCTGTTCACCTGTTTTGAAAACAATATTGTTTTGTTTGATCAATCATGCTTATACTTCTTACTCATGCCAGTTAACAAAATTTTAATACCAAGTGAGGATTCCACGCTGTCATGTCACAATTGCAATTCCAAGGGTTTCCATCCAATCTTATGCTTTGTATTTGAAATTGCTTATTCATGGTGCGTAAGTTTTTGAAAAAATCCACAGGCAATTTCAGTAGTTTGTTTTTAGTGAGAATGATTTCCTTCAATTTCTTTTGCTGCTGTATGGAAAACAGCCCTGGTGGAATGTATTCAATATCATTGTAAGAAAGATCAATTCTTTTAACGTTTTCCAGGCCATAAAAGGCATCCATTGATATTTTTGTAATATGACAGTGACTGAGATCCAAGTCAATCAAATTATTAAGATCGACAAATACATCGAATTCGATGCTTGTAATGTTTCCTCTTAATTTTAATTCAGTCAGAGACGGCATCCCTTGAAAAATAAATCGTTCAATCACTGGCATGTCTAGATTGTAAATATGCAAAACTTGCAAATTTTTCAATCCTAAAAACACGTTCTTTTGCAGCTTGAGTTTTGCAACGTTTCCACCTAATTCCAGTCGAGTTGTTTTATTCATTATTTCGAATGTGCTGAAAACCATGGAATTTTTTATTACAATAATACTTGAGTAAATTTATCATAAATATTGAACAACCATATGGTGACATTGTCCAACAAAACGTACCTCGGAAAAATCGAATCCAGAGGATTGCCACAGAAGTCGGCGGCCAACAGAGCCGGAAAGGGTGGGAACGACAGTTCTGACAAAAAAGTTAAATTATTGCCACTGAGATCGAGCTTCTCCAGCAACAAAAGCCCTGCCAAATCGACGCTGGAGAGTGTCAGCAGCTGATTGTTAGCAAGCGACAGCAGCCTGAGATTAGGCGTTCCATAGAAACAAAATTCAGGAATGAATTTTAAATCGTTTTTCTGCAGCGACAAGTACTGCAAACTGTCGAGGCCATCGAACATGTGCCAGGATATGTCCTTGAGAGCGCAGTCGTGCACCCGAAGATGAGTCAGAACTCCCAGGCCTGTGAATAGCCCTGTAGAATCCTTGTAGCCCTCCACCTCTTGCTTGTAAATGTCGTAGGGCAGGATTTCCTTGTCGTCGTTGTTGGCGCCCATTTGCTGACTCAGGAAGATCAGCCTGTGGCCCGTGGTCTGATTAATGCTGGAGATCACTTGAGAAGTTTCCTCCGGAGGATTCATGCGTTTGACTATGAGACTAGCCTTGCTCTTGTCTTTGACGCTCAATCTCGTCAAAGTGACTCGTTCCAGGTTTAAATAGAGCAAAGTTGTGCCCAGTGGTAGTAGCGTGTCGGCTGATAAAGTGATGCCTTTCTTGTCGTTCTCGTGCATGGGGACGTTGTTGCTCTTGGAGGGATCTCGGCTATCCAGTCCTTGAATGTCCAGCGAAATCAGGTCGGTGAAGCGTTGCATGTCGGCAGCCTGCAGGAGTATTTCGATATTGCCGGTGCCCGATTCCAAGATCGTGAATACCTGCAATGAAAAAAAAAAAAAAAAAAAAAAAAAATGGTTCACTAGAACCGACGAAAAAATACAATATTTTCCCTTTTATCCTTAATATAATGATTGACTTGCAAATCTCCGGGTAACTGCGACAGTAGCTTCATCGGGTTTTCGGAAACCACGCACGTTGCGACCCTGAGTAGTTCGTTAGCGAGCGGATGGTCCTCGTCAACTTGGTTCATCGAACCGCCCTAAAGTCAAAAATATCCTTATTAATTTTGTTTTTCTTATTTTTCGAACATCATTTTCTATAACAGTTTACACGGTTTGACTTATCTTTCATAATCTCTAATAAAAAATAAAAAAAATACCATGCATCCGACTACATAAATATGTAACAATAACACGCCAATACCCCAAAATCGTTGGTCGAATTGATCCATTGATGAAGAGGCAGGTCCTCGTAGCGCAAATACTCGCAGGAGCACTCGCGTGGGCATTTCACTTCCCAGACGCCGCCAATGTCGACGACTTGGGCAGCACCCCATCTCTAAAACAACATATTATTTTTCAACCAATGGTAAATATTTATATCTACGAAAAAAAAAANTCACTGAAAATATAGAAAATACTTAGACACCATAAGAGTTTTAATGTAAAAATTTTATGTACAAAATATATATTTTACAATTGTTCGTTCATGTTGTAAATAAAAACACGTTGTGATTGTTAAATAATCATAATAATTGTGTAATTTTACAGTAGATTGAAATCATTTGCGTAGGTAATGTAAAGAGTATGATGAGATCAGTACGCGTGTGCACTGTAAACCGTAAAAATACACTTACCATTTGAATAGACACATGATTTTGTTTTACAATCGACCCTAAATCATTTTTTGATGTAAAGAGTCCCAAATTTTTACACTGTGCCATAAGGATGCATACTATTAATGACAAAAATTCAGAAAACAGAGAATTTTGGAAAACTAAAACAATTTCACTCGATTACCATTTACGTTCTTTGAAAACAAGGAAAATTACTTGGATATAAAACTCAATGCCATCATTGTTGTAAGCACGTCAGGAGTTGTTATTTTTCCACTAGATTACCTTTAGTGCAATTATTTTTAACATTAACACTCATATTGAATTTTTTGGATGTATAAAAACTGCCGGTATGAATCGTACGCAAAACATTTGGCGACAACGTGAAAATATCAGGTTTCTTCCTAGATAAAATTTGTTTTCTTGAAGGAAATACTTGGATGTGTACAATAGAAAATAGCCATTTTTATTCATGTATTAACTGTAGACTTAATAGCCAATTTTTTTTGCTTCAAAAGTTCCAAAGCATTAACTACATGTATTTTAACTAAATGCGAACAAAAAAAGAAATGCAAAAAAACAAAGAGTTGACTATTTTTCTTGTAGCCTTAAACAGTAGAAATAACAATGATACATTCTGTCTTGTAATTCTATCAATAGCTATTTACTATTAAAATTATTAAATGTTACAGAATGTACTAAACTATCACAGTAAACGTGGGTAACTTGTCGGAGTAAGAAAACATGAATGTCATAATTATAGTATCGTTTATAAAAGTAGCGTGATGAGAAGTGTCAACTAAATTCAAATGTAAATAAATGATAATAGGGTAGACAATACATGAACCAAATTCTTTGATTGAATAATTGTCGAATGGTGTAACTTTTCCTGATTATTTCGTATTTGGTGGAAGTAACAAAAAACATCCGGGTATACAATGCCACGCATCAGGCACTCAGTTATTTTTTATTAAACAAACAAAAATGTATAAAACTGTGTTCTCCGTGTGGCTGCTGCCATTAAGTATAGCTAAATACTTCGGATGCTTATAAACTCGCAAATAAATGTAGAAAATATTTTATGCTGTGGAAAATTATTTAGCGTATATTTTTGAAATTACCGAATCAAAGAATTATTTGAAATACCACTTACGCATACAAGTATAAAGGTAAATCGATCAGAGTACAGTATAATAGATCTGTATATTCTGAATGTTTTTTTTTTTAAATGCTCACGGGTGTTGTGCTAATTCCAATATATGGAATTTGCCGTATTTTTTATGCCTGCACAATGAAGGTTAAATAAGAGAGAGACATAAATATATAGATATGCAACATATTTTCTCACTCGAGAGAGGGTTCACTCAGCCCATTTTGAAAATAACTTGATGTGCGGAAAAAAGGCAATTGAGATGGATTACGTAAGAAGTGCTTTTTACGCTCAGAAATATAAAACCAAACTCGCAATGATTCGTGATAAATGTATAACAGCGATGTGAGGCGATTATGTTTAAATTATATACAGTAGTTCCTTATACTGTAGGCGAATTTGTATATTGAAAATGAATAAAACAAAAAAAAATATATATATAATAACTCCTCGGAACTTCCGAATAATAAACGTCCAGACCGCAAAAGTTTCGCACCCCTCGTCTCTTTTTCCTCCGTAACAAATTATTCAACAAAGCATCCCATCCTCGAACTTATGGTCCCCGAGTACGCTTACACCCGTCCCTCGCTCCCGCAACACCCGTCACCGTAACTTGTCCACCCATATAATTAAAAAACTTTGACAACCTTTATCCAGCTCCTTTTTCCTCCCCCCGCGATGGGATTTCTGTGACAAATAACTCGATTCCCGAACGATATATTTCACGACCGAGCGGCGCGGTGTTGTTGTCCTGACGGGCGGCGGACATAGGTGAATGTCGATTGGAGGAGGAGGAAAGGGCACCCTGAAAATGGAAAAAAAAATTCCAAAGAGCGAGGCGAACGGAAAGGCATTTTTTTCCCCGCCGATCGAGCTGGTTGGGGGGGTAGTCTGTGCAACATATTATTTATAATACATATATGTTGTCACTCGCGCGTGAATTTATACGCGCAATTGAAGATCTGTATAAATGTTTGTTGCAGGCATAGGAGTGGTGCTGGTGACGGTTAGCGCTGTCGCGTGGCGGGTGACCAGCCGCGAGGCCTGTGGTGGCTTCTTCGGACTGCCCGGCATCTCTGGCAGAATACCACCCGCTCGGCCGATGCACCCTTACGCGGCCATGATCTACCCCGAGTTCCAGTTCAGGACGCCGCCACCGAGCTATCAGGTGAGGCTTTATTTTTCAAACATTATTCGCACGCCTTTTTCTTTTTTTCCTTCGTTGCAGCTCACGCCGACTTTTTATTTCTTACACCTGATGTAAAATCGTTGCTATAAAGTGTCCAAAAGCAACAATTGTTACGTATTTGTTTTTTTTCTTTTACGCCACACGTATAATTATTATTTGGTTGCTCAATGCATCATATTTTAATTATATGTATTACTGAACGACTTCACGATGCTTCATGTGTACAACTGAACGAGATTATTTTCTACCGTTTCACTCTCACGAATCGTGCAACTGAATAAATTTTACTCCCAATCTCGCAGTAACTCATCGAATGCGTCTCTTCGCGTGAAGCTACAAGGGCACTTTGAAGACGTGTTTCGAAAGATCGCCCGAATCTCCCCTAAAGTTACGTATCTTCGTATGCAGAACAGGTTTTGTTCGTACTGAAAAAAAAAAAAAAAA